ATGAACCGATTGAATTTACATAAGAAGAATCATGAAAGAAGCTGAATTACGTGCTATTATTTCTGATGTATGCTAATTATTTATATTTTCCATTAGTATATTTTTTGTCCCTTTGTCTTATGTTATTACTGTCACCTTGCGTTCCTCTTATTACTGTTAGCGCTTGCTCATTAGTTATTCTTTTTTTTTTTTTTGTCCTACATGCAAATAGTTTTTTCCTATTCCTTAATTTTTGTCGCACAATAAATAACTAATTAACTGACTAAATGAATGTGCACATTTTTCACAATTCATTAGCAGCACTTTTTATCACCTCAAAAAATTATTGAATTAAAACAAAAAGACGAATTAAAACTTAATTAAAAAGCAACATTTCATAGCAAAATACAACTGAAAGTAATTTTATTCTGTATAATACAAAAGAAATTGCTGACCTACTTTAAAATTTTCGCAGTTACATTAATAATTTTATTTGAGTTATCTGAAATTGTGCTAGAAATTGGAAACTGAAAACCTAGAAGCAATATATATATACATGAATTTATGCATATGTAAATGTATGTTATAAATGTAAACATAATTCTAAATATAGATTATAAACACAAATATAACATATGATGATAAATTAACGTAGTAGTGAAAAAACTTTGCATTAACACTTTTTAATTAAATGACATATTCATGTCCACATTTTATTTTTACACTTTATTTCTCCCATTTTCGGTATTTTTCACGAAATGAATCAAAAGTTAAATGCAAAATTTTGATTCATTATTACTATTATTATCATTACTATTATTATTATTGCTATTACTATTATCATTGCTATTATTATTATTATTGTTGTTACTATTATTATTATTAATATTATTATTACAATTCGCTATGCGACAACATTGTATATTAACAATGGATGTCGATGAAAATACAATGAATGAATTGGAAAGAGATTTTTCGAGATCGAACAAAACCAAAGGTTTTTCAAGATTGATTATCACTGGAAATATCAGATAAAAAAAAAGAATAACGTAGGATTGAATTCATTTTCTGACAAAAATTAAGGAATGGAGAAAGAACAAAACTACTTGTATATAGGACAAAAAAAATAACTAATGAACAGGCGCTAACAATAATAAGAGTAACGCAAGGTGACAGTAATAACATAAAACAAGACAAAGGGAAAAGAATATAACTAATGGAAAATATAAATAATTAGCATACATCAGAAGTAATAGCACGTAATTCAGTTTCTTTCATGATTCTTTATGTAAATTCAACCGGTCGTAATTCAGGTAGCATTTGCCGCAGACAGTACAGTTGAAGAGTGGCCTATTTTTGTTGTGAGTTTTCATGTGGCTTTTCAAAAATGATTTTCGTTTTGTCGGTATGAATTCTCATATGTTTTTTCATATTGTCTGATTGAAAGAAGTTTTTCCCGCATGTGGGACAACTATAACTCTTCTCACCGGTATGAGTCTTCATATGCCTTTTCATATTGCATGATTGAGAGAAGCTTTTCCCACATTTGGGACAACTGTAAGGCTTCTCACCGGTATGAGTCATCATATGCGTTTTCACATGGTATGATCGAGACGAAACTTTTCCCACATTTGGAACAACTGTAAGG